AAGAAATAAATAAGGGAAGCCATATATGGACTTTTGTCCTTGTTTTTTTGTTAGGAACTCAAACGTTTGTAAAAGTATTTTTTTTATATAATAATATATATATACATATATATATATATATATATATATATATATATATATATATATATATATATATATATTATATAAAAAGAAAAAATAAAACAGTAAGATATATAATCCAATGTTCTTATTGATATTTTATCTTTTTTTAAAAGATTTTACCTGCACGGTTTTTTGAAACATGATAATTCCTATTTATGTAGCGAACGAACCATATTTTAAATCAGTTAATTTGTTTTTATATATATATATATATATATATATATATATATATATATATATATATATATATGAGATGAGGTATTATAATTATTTATCTTATTTACATTGTTTGGACTGCTGTCCTCATCTTTGTCATATTCACAACGTTTCGACTGTTGTACGCTGCGGTCTTCTTCAGATCATATACGTTGAAAATTCGAACCGACCCCTTTATTTAGTTAATTCCCCTTGTTAACTCAGCTTTCCAGATTTGTGTTTTCAAGGCGAAATAAATAAAACTAATACATCCAAAGGTATGGCACGTGGAATTAGAACAATCTACCATTGGGGCCTAAATAAAGGGTTCGAATCGAAAGATATGAGGTAATTGATGTAACTGTTTTCTTTTGTTTTGTTTTTTTTTAATATTTTTGTGGTCGCTTATGTTGGCTCGTGGAAGTAATGTTACGTGGACCATAGATAGTAATATGAAAAGAACTGAAAGAAATGATTACTTCTAATCACGCTGCCTATTGTATTAGAAAGAACGATAACAGTTAGTGGACTTAGGAAGTGTAACACACAACTAGATTTTAAAAGGGTCTACGTGGCCATGTGGGTGATAATTTGGTTTCTACCCTGCAATCCCTTCCCCATAAATAAATTCTCAGTACTCTGTCGCTGTTTTTCATTCGTATTCCATTAGTAAGAAAGAAGTTCCACTCAAACAGCTTCTTCCCCCGAATCTTTACTTTGCGGAACAGACTACCGAGAGGATGCTTTCCTGATCTCTATAATCTCAATCTCTTCAAATCTAGGGTAAATCCTTATCTTTCCTACATATCCGCATAAACTGTGCTTTTTACCTCTTAATCTTTCAAACCCTTTCAATAATCATCTACTTTGAGTGGCTCCGAAAAGATCTTAGGTTTAAAATGCATTTTAAGAAAAAAAATTTTTCTTGAAGATTTTATTTTAGTTTTAATTTCAAGCTAATAGATTAAATTTAATATTTTCAATAAGCAAAATACTTTGCTGTATTTCAAACCGAATTTATTGGAATTATTTTTCTGATGATCAGTAAAATCGATAAAATTGTCCATATTGTCAACACAACATAATTTCACATCTTTAAAATATATTTTTTCTGAAACATTATTTCAGATAAATTTACTGATTTAAAGTTTAATCTGAATTTAAACAAATATTACTAACTTTTACCTTAAAATATCGCTGAAAAGCATTTTTTTTAAATACAGAGGTGGGTGTTTCATTAGGTATTTCCACATTTATTGACAACCGGATGTTTGGCTAATTTATGTAAAGGTGGCGGGGGGGACTTGGAATAAAATTACATGACGAATACAATGTAAACCTTTTTTTATAAATTTTAACAACCAAATATTAAAATATTTTAAACATTCTAAAGGTGTATAAGACAAGTGCCTTCTCACCGGATTTATTTTAAGCATTCTAAAGGTGTGTATGACAAGAGCCTTCTCGCCGGATTTATTTTTAAGCATTCTAAAGGTGTTATGTGAGACAAATTACCTTCTCGCCGGATTTATTTTAAGCATTCTAAAGGTGTGTATGACAAGTGCCTTCTCCTTTTATTTTTTATTTTAAGCATTCTAAAGGTGTGTATGACAAGTGCCTTCTCGCCGGATTTATTTTAAGCATTCTAAAGGTGTGTATGACAAGTGCCTTCTCGCCGGATTTATTTTAAGCATTCTAAAGGTGTGTATGACAAGTGCCTTCTCGCCGGATTTATTTTAAGCATTCAGATCTTTGAAATTTCACAATATGACAAGAATGTGCCTTCTCCGGATTTATTTTAAGCATTTCTAAAGGTGTTATGACAAGTGCCTTCTCGCCGGATTTATTTTAAGCATTCTAAAGGTGTGTATTTACAAGTGCCTTCTCTCCGGATTTATTTTAAGCATTCTAAAGGTGTGTATGACAAGTGCCTTCTCGCCGGATTTATTTTAAGCATTCTAAAGGTGTGTATGACAAGTGCCTTCTCGCCGGATTTATTCAACCTCGACAGTGAGGAGATTATCAGAGAATTACTAGGATTCATTGTTGGCGGCCATCAACATAACATGTGCAAATGTGTGTTGATAGCAGACACAGAAAGGAAGCTTACAGAAGATAGTGAAAGCAAGAAGAAAGGACTAAGCATCCATTGCAAGAAGACAAAATGCGTGGTTGTTAGCAATAGGAACAGACCAACAAGCAGATTACAAATTGGAGATACCAAAATCAAACAAGTACAACAATTTAAATATCTGGGAAGTGTTTTAACAAGGCAAAAAATCGGAAGGCGCATTGGGAAAGCGAAAGATGCCTTTCCAAAACTAAGCAATGTATTAAAAAACAGAAAAATTTCGTTAGAAACAAAGAAAAGAGTGCTGATCTCTTACGTATTATCAAACCTTCTATATGGCAGTGAATTCTAGGAATTCTTCTTATGTTGAACAGGAGACTTGAAACAACAGAGATGTGGTTGTACAGGAGGATGCTGGGAATGCCATGAACTGAACATGTGAGTAATGAGGAAGTTTTACGGATAATGGAAACAAAAAGGACACTTATACTTAACATCAAGATGAAACAGTTGAAATTTCTAGGGTACATAATGAGGAAAGACGGCTTAGAAAATTTGATACACACGAGATAGATTTAAAGCAAGAGGGACAGAGGAAAACAATGCATAACCTACTTAGTATTTCAGTAAATGAATAGCGGAACAAGGTTTAGAAGAGATAGTAATAAGAGAAAATATATTATTCCTACAAATGACAGGAAGTTGTGGATAGCAATGATCGCCAACGTCCTGAAGGGATACGGTACATAGAAGAAGAATATTTTTATTGAATATTTTATTGAATTTTAAGTAATTTCGGCTAAGGATCTAAAAGCAACCGTGGCTCTTGGGGCACTGTTTCGAGGTTATCTGAATACTTGGATGAGTATCGCTGCGGAACTGAGTGAGTAGCGGCGCTATATCGAGTCTAGTTGGTGCTTTTCTCGTCACCGAGTCCCGTGGTACAGTTGGTTTGACGTTTGCGTTGTATCGAAATGATCCGCGTTCGATTCTCGGTAGTGGATGCTCACTGCTGATGAGTCCCAAATAGGACGAAACGGCCATCCAGTGCTTTCTGCATTCTATTGAGGATTATTCTAGACTCATTTCTATAAGCCTAAATCCCCAAAATTAATTACTTATATGCATTTGGCGTAGGTTATATATATAGAGATCTTTCGTTCCATTTTTTTTTTTTGAAGTGTTATCTGATTATCCAGCGTCCTTTAAAAGGGCTCTGGTGAAATAAACTATTACAATGGAACCTTAAAGTGGTCTATTTTTCTTTAAATTATTAGCTCTGGATTTACATTGAGCGCTCAGTATTTCATCCTCCTTGGGACTACCCATACGGATTACCAAGTGTTTCATAACGTGTGTATATATATATATA